CCCCAAAACCCCAAAACCCCAAAACCCCTATCTATTAAAAAGAAGGTGATGATGAAAAAACAATAAGCTCTTGAATAAATAAATTTTACTGAATCATAAATAATCATGTTAGATTATAAACTTGATTCCAGCAGTTCAAGTAGTAACTCAGCATTCCAATCAAAGCAAAAAATAATGAAGCAAAATATTCTTTTAGATAATATATCAGATGACTCTTCTATGGACTTAAAATTAAATGATGAGGAAGATTAAGAAGACAATGAATAATGGAATAATGAAGATAATTCCTATATAGATCACTAAAAATAACCTCAAAACGAGAGAAACAATAGCAGTTCAATATCAAATGACAGGAAATAGCCTTAATATAACCAGGGACAATAACCTCACCAAAGAGATCAAGGCCAACCGAAGAAAAATCTTATTGAGCCTAGAAGCAAAAGAGGCGTCAATATCTTTTAGAGGAAACGTAAGGACATCATTAGTGAAGTTGTTAAAAACAAAAAAATCGACTTTGGGGAATCAGGAGAAGAAGTTAAAATCATTATTTAGGAACGTTAATCCATAATGCGTTCACTAAACAGCTCAAGGATGGAATCTTCTCCTAAATCATCAAAATATAGCAAGGCTTAACCTTCTAAAGCAAATCTTTTTGATATAATTGGAAAGTAAGGTAAAGTAGATGAGGCATCATCTGAATAAGAAAATAATGAAAACTCTCCATCTTAATAAATAGAAGGATCCCTTGAAGGAAGCCATAAAAGAATTGATCAAGTAGTTGAGCTCAAGGGAATCCTAAAGAATGCTTAGTCTTAAAGCAGTAAAGCAAGTTAAAGTTTAAGACATTTTGGAATTGGTGGTCTTAACATCGAATTACACTCTAAAAAGATTGATCCTAGAGGCAGTGAAGTTAGGTTTGCTTTGGACTAGAATTATATAAATAGTCAAAGTTCATGTTCTAAACGTTCTTCGTTCAATTTTGAGTTCAAGGGACAGCACTACAGATCATAAGATAACAAATCAACTGACAATAAGAAAAATGTTTAAATATTGGATAAGAAACCACCTATTCAATCTTATTACATGAACGTATTGAATAATGATGAGGGTTTTAAGAATCTTAAAAAAGACTATCCAAATACAGAAACAGAAGTATTGGCGGACTATTATATGAAGAACGAACTAGATGTAAAGAAAACTATTAAAGATCTCTACCAAAAGCTAAAATTAATCCCATATGATCCTAGTTTTAAATCAGAAGAAAGTAAAAGTGAATAATCAAAGTAGAGCAGTAATAAAAATGAAGATATAAAGTCAAGTGATAGCAATAATAAAAGCAATTAACTTGATAAATCCAATATAAAAAAGAAGAATCACATTGTAGGCAAAAACATAATATAAGATAGTCTTAAGAACACTATTGTCTCATCCTCGAATCACTCCGATAATTAGCAGAAAGACGTTGAAAACTTAAGGTTTTAAAATATTGGTGGTCTTAAGAGAAGTCTTTCCAAAAATATGGAGGGACCAAATAATAAATAGAGGGAGAGCTTCCTAGATTACGATATAAAACATAATAAAATTAAGAACAATTAAGGTACACCCACTAATAAAAATGAAAATTCTCAAGATTCTTCATTTGAGAGAAGTGGAAGCAATAGCAGTAAATAACTTTAACAAAGAAATCTAAGTTCCCTTGATCAAAGCTACTCATTTAAGGACAGAGCATCAAGACCTTCATCAAATGGACACTTTACAATTGGAAGTGCTTAAACTTTCAATATCTAGAAAAGCCAAAAGAAATAAGAAGAAAACAAGCATGTCGTTAAGTAGAATTCTATTTTTGAGAAAATAAATCACTTAAAGAAAACGCCTGTACAATAATAAGACAGTCCGTAAGGAGAAAAACAAAGATAGCAAGATTTTAATAATGATGTAAGTAACACATTGAGTTAAATTCTAAACAAAGAAAAAAATCCCTAAGTTATAATAGATGACTTCTCTTAGTCTTTTGACAACGATTTTGACTCTGAAAAATTAAAGAAAACATCTATGGACATAGAGTAGCAAACTAAATCAACACAACCAAAGCAAATGAAATCAATACTTAAAAACCAAAATCAAGATGTTTACAGAACTGGCACATTTGGAATGAATAATTAAGCAATGTAAAATAAAGATTCACCCCCAAAGCAGTCAACTAATGCTGCCTGCTGTATGGGATTTTTCAATAAACCAAAAGATTTAAACAAAGGAAAAAATACAGATATAAGCGGCTAAAATACAACATAACAGCCAGTGTTGATCCATGAAAAAATGAGCTTTTTTAAAAGGTTTTTATGAGGTCTACTTTTTATCATATAATCTTGTACAGATAAAGATTTTTTCTATTATTAATGACGTAAAATAAAATAGTAGACATAAAGCAATATACTTATTTTATTCGAAAATTATTATAATCACATTTATTTTATTTATTGTGCCATTTGGGGTTTTGGGGTTTTGGGGTTTTG